TTACCTCCCATACTCAGGCATATTAAGAAAAACAGTAATAGCAAAAAGTAATATTTCGTGTATGGACGCACGAAACAAACTTCCTGATCAACAACACTAATGTAAAGACGCGAGCTCGATGTATGCATACTTATTGGTTGCTACAGCTTGTTGATTCGTACACAAGCAAGATCCCAAGATCCTCGAGCTTCGCAGCGTCGAGATTCCCAGCACTGGCTCGTCCACATACCTCGATTGGTGCGCTAACAGGAAGGCTCAAGTACAAAAATACAACAAGCATGTGTTAAGACAAGCTATACGTCTCAGGCTTGTGCTAAAGCTTTGAGGTCTGGCCATTTAGGTTAGTTTAGAGACCACAAATGACGCTCTCTGGACGAAAAAACAATATCTTGTCGACGTGTCTATCGAAACCGAAACCATGCCACCCTCCTCCCTGGCCAACTAGTTCCCAGAGTGCAACGCGCGCCGTGTTGCATGCAGGGCTTTATGGAAGTAGTCTATTGGTGTTGTCAGAACATGCTAACCCTCAATCCTTCTAAAACCGTTATTATGTCTTCGTCTAGAAAGGTAGAAAAAATTAACTTTTGTTACCAGATTGGCAATGATTCTCTGCGAAGAGTCGAGTGCACGCGTGATCTTGTGTATACCGTATTTACTCGCAGAATGAACGCACTTTTTTTCCGAAAAATCGATGCAAAGTCGGGCCGGGGGGGGGGGGGGGGGGGGGGGGGGGGGGGCGTTCATTATGCGAAGTAAAATTTTTGCGTCCGTATTTACTCGCATAATGAACAGACCTTTTATCCTGAAAAATCGAAGTAACTTATCTCTTTGCGCGCGGCGCCCGACCCCGTAACCAAACAATGCTGGGCAAAAAGAAAAAAAAACATTGTTTTCTTTTTTGTTTGTTTTTTTTTTTTTTTTGGCTGCCTTTCGCAAGCTGTTTTGTTTGCTTAGGCGAGGGCTCTCCACTTATCTTTCTTATCTCCTTGCGCGCGACGCAGGACCCCCGTAACCAAAGTGCGCTGTGCAAAAAGAAAAAAAAAAGCTCCTCTTTTTCTTTCTTTTTTTCTCAGTTCAGTTTTTTTTGTTTTTTTTTTTTTTTTTTCTTTTTGCCGCCTTTTGCAAACTGTTTCGTTTGCTTAGAGGGCTTCTCCGCTACTCTTTCTTAACTCCTTGCGCGCGCGCGGCGCGCGACCCCCCGTAACCAAACTGCGCTGTGCAAAAGGAAAAAAAAAAAAAAGCTCCTTTTTGTTTTTTCTTAGTTCCTTGGTTTATTTTTTCTTTTTTTGTTTTCTTTCTGCCGCCTTTTGCAAGCTCTTTCGTTCGCTTAGAGCGCTTCTCCACTTCTCTTTCTTACCTCCTTGCGCGCGGCGGCGCGCGAACCCAAAGTCCAGACTGCCCTGTGCAAAAAAAAAAAAAAAAAAGCTTCTCTCTATGTTTTTTTTTTTTTTTTTTTGCTTCCGTTGAATCTTTGCGAATTTTTTTTAACGCCTGCTGCAAGGCGTTTTGTTCGCCCACGCTGCCCATGCATTCGCGACCTCGCTGCACCAGGATAGAAAAGTGCGTTCATTTCGCGCGCGTGGGAGGAGGGGGTCAAAATTTTGACGTCCGAGTTGGGGGTGCGTTTATTACGCGAGTGAAAAAAAAGTCGAAATTTTGAGAGCCGACTTGGGAGGTGCGTTCATTACGCGAGTGCGTCCATTGTGCGAGTAAATACGGTACATAGACTCTTCGTTATACTTTATTGTACATGTTAACAAACTTATAAATGGCTCTTTGCATAAGCTGGGAGTAATTTCTAGAATCACGCGTGAGTTCTCCACATCAACCTGTATTCTTCAGTTATATTTTTCGTTATTCCGGACCAAGTTGGAGTTTTCCTCTGTAGTCTGGAATTGTATTAGTTCTACGAGCCAAGAGATAATTGAAAATGTTCAAAAGCGTTTTTTTTCTTTCGAATTGTTTACGATCGTTACATTGGTCGTACTGTTTATTATTCTTATGTGAGACTCTTGGAACAATGCAAATACTTTGAGTTCCAGACGGCGTGAGCGCGATCTTGTTTTCCTGTATAAATGTATTCATGGATTAATTGATTGCCCAGATCTCACATCTGCAATTAATATTCACGTTCCGAGTCGAGTTTTGCGGGTTTCTCCAACTTTCCATGTTAATCACATCATCCAAACCCCCAGTCCCATGACCCGTATTCAACACTTCTGCAATACCCTCAGGGGAGCAGATATTGATGTTTTCAACCCAAATTTCGTAGCTTTTAAGACTTTTGTAACTAACCTGTGAACATTGTGTTGTGCATCATTACCAAGGCGTCAAGCTGTTCATGAGCACAGAAAATAAACAAATGAACGAAAAAAATAAATAAAAAAAGTATGGCAGCTGTCACTGTTGCCAAAACCTACTCTTAGAATGACTACAGTATTTGAAAATATCTGTATTACATTTAAATATAATAAAAGCATGTATGTATGGAAAGGGTTGCACTCTAAGCTCTTAAATGCAGCTTTAAGAAATTATTAAAAAAATATGCTTCAGTATCCCTGTAATAGCATACTTAGCTCTATGAAAAATCAATCAGCTTGAGAAGTGGGCCTCCTGTACATTATTAGAAGTTACAAACCTTGAGCATAACATTAACTGTTTAACCTTTTGGGGTCATGGAATTTCTTGCCTTGTTGGTCTCTCTGGTTAGAAATATTGCACACTAAAAACAATACAATCATTTAGTGGTAATAACTAAAAAAGAGGCCGCATCTCCACGTGGTGAATGATGTTGATTGGGGCGAAGCTCTGGTGGGTGCTGACGATACTGATTTTATTGTTCAGAGGTAGTGCCAATGGTGCTGATTTTTTTTTATTGCTCATAGGTAGTGCTGACTTGCGGGTTGCGTTTCGACTTCATTATTACTGCTTTATGGTTGGTGAAATGCAGAGCCAGTGGTTCTCCTAGCGGATCAGCTTGGATCCGCTAGAAGCCGCGGGAATGCATCTCCACCGCTTAAGTCAGCGGTCCATGTGAGAAAGAGAATGAGTGGTATGGATCGTGGTTATATACGCAGTTGAGCATTTGACCGCAGCTACGTGCAACGTTGGAGTGTAGCGTAGTGGTTAAGATGTCAGCCTTGTAAGCAAGCGGTCCTGAGTTCAAACCCCCGTGCGGGTGTACATTTTTTTTTTTAAAGTGGGCCGATCCCGGAGACAGTGCAATCGATGTGAGCACAAACGCTGGACAAGGCTAGACCCTAAGGAGCTTCGCCCCTAACATCATCAAAGCATCGGTGAGAAAAAGCTGAAAGTGCTGCATCTTGGACTGTACAATGAGGAGTTTAAAAATCTTTGTCTGCATCCGTTTAGGGTGTCCAACTTTGAGAAATGGCAATGACGGTAAGACTCTTTTCATCACTCTCATTCACAGAACTGTCTCAATAATTCTCCGAGGGTTCATCACACAAACTTTCCAAGCAGTCTTCAGAGTTCTCGGCTAAAATAACCTCCACCGTCACTTGAATAGCTCACACATTTTTTCCGTATAAAGCAAACGGGGGAAAAAGCTGTCATGATAAATGCCGCTGGAATGTGTGGGAAAAATTCCACTGGTCCAGAAGAACAAAAAAAACGATAAAAAGCGTTGTTACTGTCGGGGGAGCCCCGATGCCTGATTACAATGGAAATATTTTTTTGTCGGGCTATATTTGACATATGACCTCAAACGGATAAGGGGAGATGTGAATCAAAGAACGGCAATATTCTGAAAGAAAAAAAAAAAGAGGGATTCCGGGTTTTAGGGTGTTTTATTAGTTTGAATCTTCAAATTTTATAGATAAAAATATTAAGGACCGGATATGATCGCGAAATCAGTCAATTACGCATTAGAAGAACTCCCGCCGACTCAAAAAGGCATAACTTTGAGCCATTTTTGTGAGCGCCATTTTTCAAACTGGGATATCGCCCGCCATCACATTTATTTTGAGAAGGCCTAGCCGTCCCCTCTTCATCCCATTCTTCCGTAGCTTCAATTTCTCACAGTGTAGTTACACATCTATGGTAATATCCAAACACATTTTTTTTTCTTTGTGTAATTTTGGGGCATCTTCACATTTTGAGCCAAAGAATTTTTGTTTTTAATATTGTCCTATGACAACCAAATTTGGCATGAATATGTTTTAGGATATGTAAAATGCAACTATCAATGTTTTGTTAGAATGTATATTTTTTATATTTCTTACGAAAACTTAAACAAACTTTTGTTAGCCCTTTGACAAAGACGTTTTCGCTATTTTTAATTTTTTTTTTAATAAAAGAGGTTTCGCACACAATATTTTTGTTGTTCATTGCTTATTTTACTTGGCTCTTTTAAGTTTGTTGCCATGCCCTAAGGGGGATTGGTGGCCGAGTGGGCTAGCGCACACCAGCTCAGAGCATGTGGAGTGAAAGCTCGCGCTGCAGTACCCGGGGATCCTGGGTTCGAGCCCCACCCCTGCCCGTTTCGATCTCTATGAGCGTCGTACCGGCGTGCGGTCGTGTATCACTGCAGCGTGGTGCACGTTAAAGACCCCACGTTAGTGGTTGTACCACACTGGCTAAATTGCTCATCTACAGCTGAGATACCAGACGTCCTCTGAGGCAGACTAATCTCCGGCTGTATAAACATACACACAACAATTTTTTGTCATGCCCTACGTGTGTGCAAAAACACAATTTTCTTTTCCATGTGCATCGCATCCAGAACTTGAAAAAGACAAAGTATATCAAAACTAACATTATATTTATAAAAAAGAGATTAAGCACCATGAACTGTTGAAATGTCATTCAACTATTATAAATAATAAAAAAGAAAAATTTCCCCTGGAGCACATTATTTAATTAGAAAACCTAGTATAGTACAATTACAATGGCACTTTATCACGATTCAATAACAAAAACTTACTCGACGCAATTCATTAATACTACAACACAGACAGGTAGAGAAACAAGCAGCGAACCTTGTTCATCCCCAGTCTGCCTCTTGGAATCACCCTGCAGTTTGCGGCCCGTGATGGGAGACGTCTGAATGTTTCCGAAGGTGCGCATCAGGGATGGAAAGATCCTCCTCCCCTCAGAAACTGGAGCCTCCCTGCACATGCAGAATAGAATGTCCTTAACGGCAAGCATCAAACTTGGAAATTTGATTCAAGTGGCAATGCGTTCTTAGCAGCTTGAATGCTTCAACTGTTTCAAATAATGACTCGAAAAGTTTATTGAAAACACAACACTTATTAGAGTCATTCGCTGGTTGGCAGGAAATCAGATTACAAAGACCTTTAAAGCCTCCACTGCGGGCACATCAATGAAGCTGCAATCCTTTTCTTTTCACCTGGCTCGAGAACATCGAAGATGCCTTTGCATCTTCAATGCGCCCAAGCGGTGTACTCGCACACTCTCCTTTGAGGAAAGGGAAGCTCCCCATCTGTTGTGCAGCGTCGCTGTCCCCTGCATGCGCCTGTCTTCTGCGCGGCATCTCACATCAGTGAACTGATCGGTGCTTGACTGAAATTTGTGGCTTTCTGGAGTGCTTAGGGTGGATACGCAATATCCAACTTGGTGCCCCTTTAAAAAGGTAAGGACACTTCTCTAGTTTTGACGGTAAAAACGAGATCCAATAAAGAAACTTCTGGGCAAAATACTTCCTGGGCTTCCTCCTTCTCCTGCAACCTCTCTCAAACCCGAAGTCTAGCTAGTTTCTTACGCCGCAAATTGAATGATAACTGGTACCATATGTTTCTTGACCAATTATCTCAAAACTTGAAAAGTTGAGAAAAATTAATTTGCTCCAAAAGTGGAGCTTAAATAAATTCTAAAACAAATCGAGCTCGGCAATATAAAAAAAAGGTATTTTGCAAATGCATGCAATACTTAGCAATTGCATGCAGCATGTCAAGGGCATTTCTTTTATCTTTAACATAGAATATGTCATAGAGGAGGCTATATAGGACAAAATAGATGCAAAAACGTACTTGGAAGTGACATCACCCACTACACCCACCAAATTTAGCGGATTTTGTTGACTTGGTACATCTCGAACTTTAGAGTCCATTGCAATGGCGTGGACACTGCAGCGGAACTCTCTCATGGGCAGTGCCCCACTCTCATTGGCTAGCGTAAGTGATCATGTGACCATAGTGACAACCAATGAACGGAGGAACTCGCAGTGCGGGCCTCGGTAAATAAACCCTTTCGTTAAATTATCCAAGCCCCAAAGAGAATGCTGGGAATGTAGGTTCACGCACTGCACACACTCACTTCCCTGTATAAAAGATTCCAAGTAAATAATCCAAACAATGCCTTGAGGAATGCACGTGGTAAGTGCCACTCGTTTTAGATTTTTGCTTTCAAACAATCACTGCTGCAGACGCCAGCATGTGTACCTACGTTCCCGGCGTTCTCCTTGCTTGGGTAATTTGGCAAAAGGTCTATTGCACTGAGATTTACCGACCCAAAATCATATTCTACATATGACAATTTTCTCAGGTTCACCAAAGTACTGCTACAGTTTTCCTATAGAAAGCTGCCCTTCAGGGACTGTAAAATAAAAAAAAATAACAAATAAAAAAGAGGCATCGAAAGGAAGGGGTAGTGGCAATTCCTTCCTTGTTTTCATTTACAGGCTAATGTCAGAGCAAATGCAAGCGTTTTTTGACCGACCCAGACTCTTCTGTGGGAGGGGGCACTTGATCTGTGCTTTCAACAACCTCCAAATGGGCGCTTCCTAGGCATTTTATGATGCTGACATAGAAAAGAATGAAACTGGCTTTGCTCTAAAAAGGTGTAAGACTAAAGTTCCCAGTCCCAACCAGTTTAACCGATGGTGCCCCTTGGCAACAAAACTTTAGCAGGACCCCTTCGGTACATTGTCGGTCGATACATTTTCCCGGCTCTTATGTTCATGAATGTTAGTCCCGTTGAACTCCTGCCCCAAGAATGTTACTGGTTGTTACGTTTCTCTGTCGTTAAGTATTTTAATACTGTCTGCTGGAAAACCTATCAACAACGTTCTACAGTACAAAGACAAGTACCACCATGCCCCATCTCTATACTATATGCGCCGTTAAACTGATCAACAATGTTAAGTTGCTGTGTGCACACCACAGAGAGGCTTCTCAAACATTTAAGTCCCACATCCCCTAACCACTCTGAAACCTGACCTCAGAAAAAAAAATTCCCCCCTTTCCCACCCCCTCTCGCATCCCTCAAGAATCTTGCGACAAGTGATTTGGTGCAAGACATTGGTAGTAGGAGATCTTATTTGCCAAAGAACTACAATAAAGCTAAATGTTAAAGATATTTGTGTGATGCGAGGAAAATATCCATTTCCACAAAATCTCTACAGGTAATTTTTGCTTTATACTAACATGAATAGTACAATTTATTTGTTCGAAGCTCTCGAACAGCTTGCAGGACTAGCAAAATAGAGCTTTGTTCCACAACTGCCAAATGACTTCAAATGTTACCTTATAGGTAAAAACACTTTTGACTTGAGAAAACTGTATGCTTCAAAAATATGGGAGGAAGTTTTATTGACTAACAACCCAAAAACCATCATAGTAAAGTGAACTACAAAAAGCTTTGAAAGGTCTGACCCAGTATTTAAAGGATCTGACAATGCCAGCACCTTCTGCTTACATTAGGCATTGCTGCAAAACTTAGTATCATAAAGAGTGAGATAAGTGTAGAGAACAACTTTATTATAAACAACTGAGCCCAATCCGTCCGGCTCTCTCCCTCAACTGGGGGTGGCTTGCCTCAGTCGCCGGCGCCACCCAGTGACTGCCCGCAGTGCCAGCGTGACACTCGTGACAGCTCCTATACTAGTTTGCAGCACAGCTCCACCAACGGAATGTGCGGCTGAAATTTTGGTTTCAAGAAAATGGACAGTTTAAGCTGAAAATGTGTACATATAGTCATGGTTAACATTATACAGGCTTGATCATGCTCACAAAAACCAGGGAGCACAGAACCTGTCCCACTGAAGAAACCACACTCTGTGTGGGGTTTGCGACAGTTTTTTCATTCTTTTTACTATTAATTTTCTACAGCGATAGCTGCTAGTGGGACACATAGCGGTTCCGCGCCGTCGACCGCGCTCCATATTGATGCGGGCCATTTTCGGCACTCCCTCAAAACATTTCACGGGCCGCTGATAACAAAATAACAGGCAAACAAGATTACATGCTACTACATAGCCTTGCATGGTCGCAAAATAACATGCATGGTCAGCAAAACAGTCCCCACCACGCAATCTGGCAATGCACTGGGATAGGAGCCCATATATGACCCAGAATTAGCACAAACAAGAATTCTTGGGAGATACGCAGGTAAAACTGCCTTTTAATTTTACGATGCATTCTGTATCAGAAAGTAAGGGGAAAGCAAGTATGGTAATGCCCCGTCAATGCAATTGACAGATACAGGGTTTTATGTTCTAAACTAATAGCCAGAAAGATGGTATTAATAGTGGGTGTTTGTTTCAATAAACCTTCGTTTGACAGTGCACTTCGTCTCGTCTACTTCCGTGTCCCTGTTTATTCGGCGCTTTTCCTTTAGTGTGTGTCACTATTTGTACCGAAGTGACATACAAAAACATGCTACCCTCTTACGCAGACAGCTGAAATGCCCTCTACTTAATACACCCTCATTGATTCCAAAACGCTATAAAATTTCTGTCCGGTGTGCTACTCGGTTTAATGTGAAGCGCCCATGCAGACTCTATGGTGCACGGTTGCACCTTTACCGTTCATTTAGTCCATCTGCTCCGAAATGACACCTTAGCGACTCCAACGTCACACCTCAGCTGTTGCAGTGTTTCACCTTATGGGTTGCATGTTTTTTTTCCCTTTTGAATTTATTTTTATGTATTTTTTTATTTTGTTTTGTTATCTTTTTTTTTATAATATTTTTAATATTTTTTTATTTTATTTTTTCATTTGTTATTTTGTTCATTATTTTCATCTAAAAACCTGCTGTTCTCGCTGGCACACTTGCATTCAAATCAAATCGTGTACCCTTCCAGACAGCTGTGCTAGTAGCCGAGTGGCTGTGGTATCCAACCACACCACACTGACCCAGTCCCGCCGGGGCCCGAACTGTCTCTATATAAACTTTCTATATAATCTTAACGTCTGTTGTGCTCTCAGCGTGTCAATCATCTATGACGCTCGTTATAAGGTTCGTTTATGACGATTTTCTCATAGACAACGACTCATAAAACACATTCTGCGATAAAAGAAATACAAACAATGGAGCGGCAACCAAATGATGCCTAGGGTGCCTCATAGCAGCGAATGCGGGTAGTGTTTAAAGCAAGAGATTGGTTCACCATTTTTTATTCATTACGACAAATTTTATCTCTGCGATTGACCGCCAAAGGCGCGAATTGTGCTCTTGAGTGGCTGGCTGCGAGAATGATGTTGTTCCTTCATAGGAATTCGCGGCACCACGACGACTGATTGTGCAGGGGCAGGAGTTACATATTTTATTGACAAATTCCACTCAGTCATTCGACCGACGCCATCCCAATTTCGTTTAGAAGGGGAGTCATTTTCCAATAATCCACTGGCACTGTGGCATCTGTGCCACCGAGGCAATCATTATGTTGCAATAAAGGACAACCTTCGTCGATTGAAACAGAAAAACACGCAGTGACATCACTTCACAGTCCAGATGATAACGCTCAATTTTGTGCGCTCTCGTTTCCACGCGATCACCAACAGTCCTTTGACCATGTAGAGCAAAGGTTCGAGGGTGCGCCAACTATTAAAATAGCGAGTGCCATGCCACATGCAGCCAAGAGTGAAGGTAATGCCACGGCCAGAAACTCCAATAATAATCTCGCCAGAGAAGTATGTACCACCTAATTCCACCAGAAGGTTCCATAGGCGTAGGATGGCATATGCTCTGCTGTTCATATTCCTTTTGACCACGACTATAAACACTGAAATGCCCCAAGGTAGTGCCTTTTGGCACACCCGTCAAGTTTGGGTTCCTGGCAGTCCACTTGGGAACCCCCGTGCTGTCGAAGTGGCCCCAAATGCGGGAGACGCAAACTCACTGGGCGATGACGTAGAAGTCGTCCATGGGTTCCTCGGGGCCAGCCAGGACGGCGCTCTCGCACACCTGGGGCCGACCAGAAGCCAGCTGCACCAGAGAACACAGGTTCAGCTTCCCTGCAGTGCACCCGACCGTACCCCACCTGCTGCTTCAGCGACTCATTTTCCTCCTGCAGGAACTGCATCCTGTTCATGTCTTCGTCGTAGCTCAGGAGCGTCGGCAGGGCTGAAGGCAAGCACGCAGAGCGAGCACAAGTTAGCAACCAAGCCTCCCAAGTGCACTTACAAGTTAACACACCAACGATAAGCGTAAAGTTCAGTTACAGCCCGGAAAAAAAAAAAAGCCTACCCTAATATCGGAGTATGACAATAACCAAACGTGTCACCGAAAAGCGACTTCAGTGTATTTCCTATCAAGCACGGCGTGTGCATGGTGGAATACGTAGCACGTTTTCAAGACAAACGGAAGTAGAACCGTGGTCTCAAACAAATCGGCAGTCACACATAAGAGTCATCAGGATGAAGGGAAAAGACTGAACGTAGGGGACACAGTCCCCTATGTTTCAAGTTTCCCAAACGATTCGGCAAGGAGATACCGGCATTCACGGAGTGATTAACAACGGGCTAGTGAGGGCAGTCAGCAACCCCGAGATAAGCAGCAACCCTCTAATTACATAGAGGCCTCCCCCCTCCCAAAATGAAGTGCTATCGTAGCTAGGAGGCTGCTCAGGTGCTTTATTATGATTACAAGTGACATTTACATGAAGTCCTTTGTATGGAGAAGTATATCAAACGATTGATAACCGAGAGAAATCTCATTCGGATTGTAACCACAACCAACGTGACTAGAAGTGGTGTCTGCAGTATACTACTTACTCCAGCCATCGATAGGCTCGTGGACAACTTTCTGCGATATTTCTGATGAAAGTGTGCGAGCGCAGCTAATTAATTGCCCTTCAAGATTGCGCCCCTGAGCCTTTGACTGCAGAGCCACAAAAAGTTGCCCAAGAGTATACCAAGCTTCCGAACGACGGGCAGCTCCAGTGTGAGCTTTCTACCTTCAGCAATGTTCAACATGCAGTCTCGGTCCAGACACTGCAAAAGGCAGTGCAACTGAAAACTTCCACCTAGCATTCTCTGGCCCGTCAATGACTCTGCAACACTGCTAGGGCTAGCACAGTCAAGAGGGTGGACTGCCAATCGAGTACCGCAAGAAAAATTAGCATGACGATTGAAGAAAGAGTAATAAGGCAAGCGAGCTGGTTAAAGCTATGCATGCTAAACCTCGAGAGAGAGGATAAAAAAGGAAACCCACATGACCAGCCTCGTTTCTCTCCACTTTGTTGCCCTCAAGACTCAGGTTTTATTGCATCGAACTGCGGGATGACAGTTTGTGTGCCATTCGCGCATTTGCTACGAAAAGACGCAAAGGTGAATGCAATCGAGTTCACAAGGAATGTCCTCTTAGAGGTGACAAAACTAAAGACGTGAGACCACCAAGCCCTATCAATCAAGGAATGCAACAAATCTCTGGAAGTTTCCGCAGTGCCAACAATTTTAGGCGTACACATATACCAGTGTAAGAATTTTTTATATACATGTGGGAAGAAATTGAATACTTGAGAGAGATGGCCACTTATAATTAGAACAATGGACAGAACATACTGATTAAAAAGTAATGATGTCTAAATTCACAAGTCAAATATCTTTATCATACACAGGGTGTTAGGAGGGAAAGTATGCAGGCGAGATGGTTAGGAAACATCTTTGGACGGGTAACTATTGGCGTCCTCCTGTGAATAAACTCAGCTGTGTTTGGGATTCTGTGTCGTGCTGTTGTTTTTTTATATTTTTCCCAATCTCAGTTTTTCTTTCAAACAAGGTGTTGTTGGTTAGGCTTTACAGATGTTTCTATAAAAAAAAAAGCTGTTAAAGCTACACGCATGTAGCCCATGCAGGTGAGTTACACAGTCAGGGGGACATGATATAGGGGCTAATAGTCAGAATAAGTCAAACAATTAAGTAAAATTTTTTAAAGTCTGGAGTGGTGCATACCCATGCTCTGGTACACCACACTGAGGAAGTTCCTCAGAGAGATGATCATCATGTCCTGCCACTGGCGGGTGAAGTACACCTGGAAGTTCGGGTTGTCCTCTGCACCCTTCAGGAATGGAAGTGCTGAAGAGACACCGGTGGTACAAGCACATCTGAATGTGTGTCCACTAAGTGGGATACTAACTGAATTAGTCGATTCCTCACAAACCACACACAACCCCCCCCCCCCCATGCTGCACAGCAAGATTTATATTTTCAGATCATACTTCTTAGGCAAGTGTAACCAATCTAAAACTCCCTTTGCTTTCAAAGGATCTCATCCGATCTTTCAATCTATCTCAAGCTTTTTACAGTCTCTCTACCGAAGCACCATATGATCAAGGACAAAATAAACTAGAACACACAAACACACTTCATCGGCCGTGGCAGCACAACCACAACTGGATAAATTAGTTCAGAAATTAAAACTTAATAACTTAGCTCCAAAGATAGTTCATTACAATTAAAACTACCAGCATCCAAAGAGTAATTTGTATATTACAATTATGCATTATTTCCAAAAGTAATCCAAATACCTCACACTTACATTTTTAGAGCTATCCATAGTCAATTATATATTTCTGTGATAGCATTTTTTTCATGCTGAAATGTATTTGTCATTTTTTTGCCATTGAGGATTTAGTATATCAAGTTTTACATTTTTTCTATGGCCCACATAAAGCGAGTGTTCTTTCCATTGTCAGGATGGAAAGGAAGAATCGAAATAATGCCATGGGGGACCTCTTGGGGAGCGCTGGAATGTTTATTGTGCCACCAGCAGCTGGGGGGGGGAGGGGGGGGCTCTCAGATGTTGTTGGGTACGCCTGGTGCATGGCTGAGACTCCTCGGTTGAAGAGTCGAACTTGTGTGTGGCATAAAACAGAGATAAGCAAACCACCACAAACCAGAGGAGGGTGCTTAATCTGTACATATAAATATTTTCCTTACCAACTGAATATGAGCTGTTTTAAATTTTAGCATGCAGCACCTGACACTATCACAAGATTTTGAGCTCCACATTGGAAAGAAATGCACAGGAGCTCAAGGACGAGGCAATGACACATGTAGGGTCCAAAGATGACAGCCTCAAATCTATCAGGCCAGCAGCACCTGACAGGTTTTCGTATTGTTCCTTTGTAAACAATACCTATTTCATGACTTGTCGTTCTTATGAAGTAGAGCATGCAATCGCCCAAATAGTAAGCATGAAAGACATGGGGTCCAGTGGCGTAGCCAGGACAAAGACTCGCCGACACCAATTTATACTGCACATACACGCGAAATATACTTTTTTGTTTCATTATTATGGAGTCATCTCCATGTCGTCGCTGCCGTTTGTTTAGCCAAACTGAGCCCCTGATGCCGCTGATGCCACCGTCGCGATTATTTATGTATTTTGTGCCACCACCTGCAAGAAGGCTCACATTTTATTACGCCAAACCGTTTCCAATGAACCGCTAACCACCACATGAGATTATGGTTCCATTCCGATTTGGGTTCAATATCAAATGCTTGATTTGGGTAACAATTCTGTTCCAGTTCAGATAAAAATAATAATTTTGCTCCAGTTTCCGGTTTAGGCTTGGTTCGACATTATGGTTAAAATCTTCCTGCTAATCGCGTATGATTATAACAGCCGCTTTGTCACGTTTCGCGGCACCAGGATCGACACCTTGTTTGCCTGCAACTACAGTCAAACCTGTTTATAACGAACAACAAGAAACGCTACGACCAGTTCGATAGAGCAAGTAGTTCGATATAGCAAAGACCATTTACAACGAACTTCCACGATGCGTTCGTTGTAGCAGCGGCACGCGATGGCGCACAGGTCTACCACGTGACCCACGGCGGCTCCCATGGACGCCAACTACAAATTCGTTTGGCGCCCAAAATATAGCTCTGAAAATTTTGTTTCTTCGTTGTAAATTTGTTTTATAACATTCTTTTTCCATCTAGGCTGTTTAAAAAAAAAAATTTTTTTCCTTTGCACGTGTTCTTAAACAAACTTTTTCTTGAGGTCCCTGAAGTTTGTTCAAGTGGTAGCTAAAAGAAAATGTTTTTCGTTCTTGATAAGGTCTAATAAACACAGAACATGCGAGAAGAGGTCTGTCTCTTCCATCAAAATATCAACAGGTAAGAGTCAGTTGTGAGATACAAAAAGAAAAATGTGAAATCTCCATTAATAAAACAATAACAACATTTTCTTAAAGACACCTGTAATCACAACACAGTTACATTCCATTCTTAAAATTACATTATCAATTTTATATCAAATTTAATTAAACTTTATGGAACAATTTTGGAATGAAGAAAATGATGATGTAAAGGAATGGTAAAACCACACTTTATCAGAATGTATGATGATGTTGATTTTCATGGCACAACAGCAATACTGCACCAAATTAAACTGTATTACAACTAGTATTGCATAAAATGTGTATCATATGTGCAGTTTACTAGAACTCGCCCCGGATACTTAGGCATATATGCCTGAAATTCGATGGCTTTTCCGCACACGCTTGGCATAACAGTGGTGCCTTGGACCTCATCATAACCCAGCTAAATCAAGTGGGGCACCCTTCTCCGAATATAATGTCTGCCAAGAATAAAAATGTAGCTTGCAACAATGCTGACAGCAGCTGTGCTTTTGGCACTAAAGTTACCAAGAATGGAGAGGACCCCATCACCTGTGCAAATAGGTGGTGCACTGATTTATGTCACCTTACAAAGAGCATAACCTCCACTCAGAAACAGGTCGCTTCAATCGTCGTCTTTGCTCACTTCATTAGTGTCTCTTTACTTTTAGAAGAATTGTATGCCGAGATGTATGTCTATGGGTATGGCTAAGAAAGTACCTACCGTAAAATACCGGGCAAGCGCCCACTCAAACTTTGGAGATAATCACAAAAAATGGGGGATGGGCGCTTCTTACAAATTTGGGGATGGGTGCTTAATGTGGAATGGGCAGATGCGCGGTATTCTACGGTACATTAGATGCATTTCGACCTCGAGTCAATGCCTACACCATTACATGACAGTGGATAAAAGCTTGGAAGTTTTAATTGCAGAGCTGTTTTGCAGACAGTCGACAAATCTACAAAACACCACTACTCTGCAGGCACAGCATTGAAGAAGGACCCTGTACCAGGTCAGTGGACGGCACACACAAGTTCCATAGGCTCAAAATGTAAGAAAAAAATGCTTCCCTAGAGTTTGCTACCATTTGAAGGTCCCAGCACCCTCGAAGAGAGGTACCCATTTGACTCACCGAACCACTCCTTCCACTCCTGCTGAGAGTGCAATTCGGCAGCCATCTTGTCAAAGAACTCGGTCAGCTTGTCCTGCCGCCCGTTGGAGATGCACGTAACGGCGTACATGCGCAGCAGTGCCATCTCCAGCTTGCGTACCGTTGGCGTAAATGACTGCTCCAAGCGCCGAAAGATGTGGGTGTCCAGGTGGGCCCAGACATCCCTCAGGCCCACAAGATCCATGGACTCGACGCATCCACTCAGGTGCTCCACAACACGGTCGGGCTGCAAAGACACGTACGGGACCTGCCATTAGCCTTCACCACCATGGGACAGTCCAAAGGTTGGAGCAAAAGTGTATGCACGCTGCACTCTAATACAACCAAGTGGGAGCCCCAGAAAACAAAACTAGCCTGCTGGGACTAGAAAAGAGCACTGGACAAGGAGTACAACAGAGGTGTTCGGAACGGCATCGGATGTCTGGCTCGAAGAGCGGACTCTTTTAGGACTCTCAAGGAGTCAAGTCATTTGATGAAACATCAGCTTCGTTTCTAAACCATTTCATAGAATTCCTTTTTATTTATCGAGGAAAGTACTACCAGGCTGAAACAAAAAGTGTTTTGGATGGAGGCACTTTCTTTCACCTTCCTCTCAACTTTTGTGGCACTTCATGACTGCCTGCTGCTGGTAAGAACTAGTTCACCACCACACACCCATATTAACAGTCAACGAGCGCCTTAAGTACCTCCATTGACATCCTCATCAGACTAGAAAACCACGCACTCCAATCAGCATTTCCTCTCATCCAGCAACTTTACTATTCTGTAAAAGGGAATCAAATCTTTTCAATACCAACTTTTTTGAACTGAGATAAGCTCAATACAGTCGAATCTCGTTAATTCAAACTTGAGGGAGGCCGAAAATTTGTTTGAATAAAGCGAAGTTTGAATTACCAGGAGTTTCCTCCCATAGAGACGCATAGGATGGGACCTGCATGTTAGTTTGAATTATCCGTAAGTTTGAATTAAGAGAGTTTGAATTAATGAGAGCCGACTGTATATGTATAAATAACTCAAGCTACAGGAAAGAAACAATAAAAATAATAATCTGTATTTGCAAAGAAATGTTACCGCAGGTGGCTTGTAAGGCTAGAACAGAAAGGAGAGAGCGCATGCGCTTGTGCGTCTGCTAGCCAGCCACTTAGGACAGGAGGAAAAAAAATAAGCCAACAAAAGCAACCGACACAATTACATTAAAAGCAGAGCACTCACTGGGCACGAACACACTTGTGCCCCTCAAGGCGAGAAAGCATGACGTAGGGCAGTTTGTCCCAACGTTAGGGAGGGGACACGGGACAGACAGGGGAAGTCTTCGAGGGTGGCAGGGAGCACAGAGTGATGCACAGTGCGGGCCTGCAGCACTTCAGTTTCACCCAATCTCTTCCTGAGTCAAGTTGGCTGCCTTCCATGGATCCATCCAGCAACCGATACAGTCGTCCAACCCTAGCCACAGTCTGGTGGTGTTCAAGTAACGCTGTAGCTCTAGACCGGTGTTGATGTTTAGTAATATAACTGCGCCATTTAAGTACCTATCGAGTTTTCTGTACCGTCTGTGTTCTACCAGTTAGAGAGGCTCTGTAGCTCAAACGTTGAGGTCTATAGCTGGCTACATTCATCATGACTCTGTCATTGTGCATGGGAACAAAATGAGAAGCTTTTTTAGTTCAGGGGAAGCGTGCATTTCAAAAGAATATGTTATGATCTGGGAACATATTTTCACTATACAGAGCCAGAGTTTATCAGGGCCTGTGGCCGTTCAAGCGTTTTGTTTCTTGAAGAAACTATCGGATTCCTCTTACTTGAAACTTAATAAATTGGATGCATCTCATATCACAAAATATGCTTGAAAAGGGAGGCTCATTCGTGGGAAGTATTGAAGATTGATTTCATAGAAATGTCTGCTTCCTCTGATGTATCAAAGCATCAGCATAGTGCTAGAGTAGAAATGTCAGTTTTGTTGCCCTGAACATGCATATCTTCAAAACTCCCGATTGTCTGACTGTTGAGTATATAACTTCATAAAATACAGGGCCTTCATTCTTTTAAACTTTAAGGATCCAGTTAAAGGGAACTGAAGCAGTTTTGTATTGGAGAAAATAACACTTAAATCGTCCTTATTTGGCCTACTGAAGCAGTTCTGTATTTGGGAAAAAACACTTAAATCGTCTTTGTTTGGCTTCCAGGATTACGAATATCAAAATTGTATCTCAGATTGATGTGCCAAGTAGACACAGCAGCGCTTTCAAAATAGCACTGAAGCCCCTCCTTCCTGTCGCATCCGGTGCGAGGAGGGAATCGTGACATATTATAACGAGATCTCAACTTTTCCGCCCTTTCCGCAAGCCTTACCTGAGCAGTCCAAAGCACTGCAGCTGAAACCCCTCGGGCATGACGTCGCACCCAGCAGTTGGTTTTTCGTTTTTTCTCGCGTCTATTGATACGCTTAGGTCAAACAGTTGGGATATTCAAATTCACAGGACACAAATACGGTAGAATTCACCTCCAAGTCATTTTTCTCAAGAACCTCTTCAGCTTCCTTTTAAAGGTTCGATTAAGTCTGTTTCAATTGATAGAAAGATGGAAAGCATACATTAGCAAGTGAATTGTACAAAGGAACACCAAAACAAGTTTGTAAATAAACCTACACTGCATCTCCACATGTTTCAGGGGCTGGAGATACCTTTCAAATGTTGACTTCCTGCCAGCCTTGGGCGTTAATTAGTCACTATACTCTGTCCACTCCCAAGCCAAGACACCAGTGGAAGCTACAAGTGCATTGGACCAGTCATACGTCGATCCTTCGTCACGTGATCGTGCTCTCGCCCACATCCTCGCGCGGAGAGCTGGGTCAGGTGATGAAAGGGAGGCGGTCGATTGGGTCTGGGGAGAACGTAGCTCCCACCGCAGTCTCAGCTTAGGAGTGATTGGAGTATATTAACACCGGTAGCTAGTTCTTTTTTAGTGAAAGTAACTTGTAACTGCAACAGCGACACTGCAACAGTGACACTGCAACAGTGACACAAGTGCCCTGGGCGAACCGGAGTTTGCCCAGGGCACTTGGTGGTGTAGGGTTGGCCCTGCCGGGGGACGAATTCTTTGTTTAAACATTACTCTTCCAAGTATTGATTCAATAGCTGAGGGAGGAACTTAAGCTGAATTCAACTACAGAAGTGAATGTTGCAAAATTGACTCTAAAAAAGCAAACACCTTAAAGAAACAATGAACTCCCAAAAAGGTATTTCTTGTAGGTGCCCGAATAGCACATCATAAATCCCACAAAAAATGCAAAAAAATAAACATATTGGTTTTGGTGTCAAACTAATTATTACCGAAAAATGTATATGTTTTGGAAGCATTTTTGAAATGAAAGAGAGTGAAAAGAAGCAAGCTATGCAGATGTTTTTTGTTTTTTTTTTAGAGTTATTGACCATAAAGTGACAGAGGCAAAAAACTTTTGTTTTTCCCACCGGCCGGGGATTGCATGTTTGATCGCTTACCATTTTCTTTTTCTTTTTTTTTTTAATAAAGCATTAGGACTCTGTTGGACACACTCAAAATAGATTTCATTAGGTTTAAGGCATTAAAAAAAAACTAAATTTGGAATAATAATAACAAAAATATGTTGAACTGTTTTTATTATGATTTTCAGTAAGTATGGCAAGTTTTTATCGGTGACCGTTAAACCCGAAAGCTCGAATCTAGCTTTTTTCAGCTAATAAAAATTCAATATTATATGTACAAAATAAAATCCGTTACAGAATTTTAATAAAGGAACATTTCGAAAATCTAGCAAATTCGGAATCTATTTTCTCAAAAACCTTACTTTTTATTAGTAGCAAGGTATAATAGTGTATTATTAGAAAATATATTAATATATAGTATTTTGTCTACATGACCGCAAGTAAAGCTTCAACCTTGCCAGATGTGCATTGTAAACGACAAGTTTTGTTGCGGAGTAAAATACTTTTTACTCCGCATTGCACATGATTTCACTTATTTTTAAGGTTACATGTTAATCAAAGTATAAATATTAGGTAATTGACTCTACCATGCCACAATGTTGGCCAGAATAGCACCTATGCGAGGGCGCAGTCAAAATTAACAACTGAAAAGAGACAAGCTTTAAGAGCGGTCATACGAACAAAATACTATATTTTCTTTTTATATTTGCTGATAAACCACAACCATACCCTCCTAACTATAAAACATGAAGCAAATAAAAAATGGGGTTTTTGAAAAAATCGGTTTAGAACTGACCCCCTAAGTGATGACGTCACAACATGGTGCTCGCATGGAGTCAGCAGTGCTCGCTTATATCCCACCATAGCTAACTAGCCGCATTTACGCCGAGGCCATCATTGATCCAAACACTACTATTACTAGGAGTGGGCTATCTTTCGGTGTTTATAAAAATATAGCAAATCAAGCCGAAAATAGGGGTGGCTATCTTTCGGGGGTGGCGCATCTCTTGGGATTTTACGGTACACTAGTTGAGCGCCAACTTTTTTTGTTAAAAGTGAACAAAACATTACATACTTTGTAGGGTACAAAAAGTTTCAGCCTAAAATCTTAATTCTAAGACGTGTCAAAAAATCGCCGAAAAATGCCTAAATATAAAAGAGTAGCGCAAGAGGCCAAGTTTGTCATTTCATTTCACTTGAAATATAAACTTAAATAAACAAAATTCAACAGCTTCAGGTAGACCAGTTGGTGTGCTTTATACACAAAAATATTTACGCTGTAGAAAATTAATTGTTTTTATTTCTGTGGCCCTCAAAGTTGCGTCTATGTGCAATTGGGAAAATCGTAGTTCTACCTCCTCTGATGCTATTTTTTATTTTTTTTCAGTAGTAAGGTCTATATGTTCTATCGACATGTTTTGCTACTTTCTATAAAAATATGATTGAAAACAAAGAATAGGCAAGACACCCCATGACCGTCCTTTGAACACACCCAGATACGTATACATTTGCTACAATATTTTTAGTTGACACACATTTTGAGTTGTGAGCGATTTGGAAACTAAGTTGTACTTGGAGGAGTCAACCTCGAAACAGGAGCTCGTTTTGGAATCACTCCAACTCAAAATGTCTCATGGCCTTTTTTCAGGAGGCGGAGGGAATTCATTTGATGACACACGTGTCCTATCCAGGCACTTTAAAAAAATTATTGAGGGCGAGTGTCTCCGTCCAAACAAGAATTTTTATGCTTCTCGACAAGCAGAATGGCACTAGGTGCCTAGGGCATTTTGCATCCCCAGGCACAAAGTGCACTAGGGATCCAAATTTCCCTAGGTTTGAATTTTGCATTCCTAGGCACTTTGTACTTAGGGTACTGCGTGCCTAGAGCAAGGTAGCAAAGTCTACCTTGCTCCCACTCAAGTTTTGTAAGCCAGAGCAAAAGGGTCAGGCCAGCAGGCCACTGGGGAGGGGTGAACCTGAAAAACCCAGAGACGTCTTCCAGGGCCTGTTTGCTCGAAGCCAGTTGCCTTTAACCCCGGCAAAAAGTTACCTGCATTTCCATACTAGGTACGTACAAGTATGTACCTGGATGCGCGATAGCTTGTATTTTATTACAGGGTTGTAGCTCGTGCTACCTACTGGTTGTAGCTAGAGTCACTGAATAAAGCTATGCTTTCAGAGTACCGAAACTCCCAAACTGCGCGTCTGAAGCGTGTCAGGCGCCGCCTTCTTGGGTTCACGCGCAGATGGAGGAATGTCTGTAGCTGAGCCAAGCCGAGCTGTAGCCGTCGCTGGGCCAGCTGCCATAGCCGAGGCTGTGGCAGCGAATCAAGGTCGTGTTGTTCGTATCTCGACATAAGAAGGAAAAAGTGCGTGCTGAGCAACACACTTTAGCGTGCGCGCGCTGTAAAAAGTAAACAGCAGAAGGCAGCGGATTGCTGGACCCAAGATGGTGGTGTTGAAAAAACGGGATGATGATGATAGCGACACACGTGACTGCCGCTGTCCAATGATGCCGCAGCGAACCAGAATATTGTTGAATAGAGCGACTGCATTGTCGGCAAAGTGCCAAAGAAAAGGAATGCGGTACTCTGAAAGCGTAGCTCTATTTAGTGACTCTAGTTGTAGCGAATATAGGAGGCTTTCGTGGAAAACTTTCTGAAAAAGGAGGACCAGAGTATACATGCTGCCGGGTTCTCGCGACTTAGCACGCATACATTTGAGCTCAAGGAACACTTTTTGTCGCTCGTGGTACAAATAATGAGTAAGGTAAAACCAAATCAACCCATGTAAGGCAAATTAGTCAATGTTTGGCTGCTGGAAGTCGACAAGCCCCCTTGAAATTTTCTTCCCAGTGTGAAAGAGGACAATGGAGTTCAGTGCTAGAAACAATGAGGAAGAAGTGAGCAGTGAAAGGCAGATGGCACACCAGCAGCATGGTTGGCCAGCATGCAAGCACTGAACATGAAGCAGTCTTCATAAATTGAAATTCGCATACTTCAGCTCCAGCAGAAACTGGTATGCGGTCTGCTTCTGTGCAACATGAATGCCCTGCAGATCGAATTGACAATTTACAAGGATTCTAAAGACGTTGCCATGTCGACAATTACCGCGTCCCTTTAGGCTTAGGAATAGCCAGAATCGAAAGACAATCTAAAAAAAATGGAGCAAGATCATTGCTCATACTTTGCGATTTAAGTGAGGTAAGGCAAAGCGAAAACCCCCTCCACCATTCATTGCTGACAAACATGCCCGATAGAGCAGCAATTATGACACATTAGTTCCAAAGCAAGTGACGCTCGCTGGGAGGGGCACTGCCATGTTTTCTCACCGTCCCTACTCTGCCCGTCACGTGACCTAAAATTCCACTTCGTAGAGAAATGTGGTTAATTTTCTGATGCGGTTAAAGTTAACCAGCTTCTAGCAAATGAGCCCAAGAAAAATGGGCACTCGACTCATTGTCGAAGTTATGCTTGAATCCAGGACAATGGTGACTGAGAATTAATTGAAACAGGCCCTTAGATGCCCTAGATTAATTAAATGGTAAATGAAGCAACCACACTTGTGGAACTGCACGAACAGCAGGAGGGAATAAATCTGTGGTGTGTGCGACGTTTTAGTCGCCAATGGTTGCTGTGCAGAGTGTCCTCTTAGCAACGGAAACTTGGGTCAAGACAGCCACTTAACAGTATTGTTTAATGTATAACATAGCAGTATAATCAATATAATGCAAAACCAAGTAGCGCATTCCCAGGATTTGCCAAACCATCCCAGGCCGGGAATAGAAGCAACTGGCAAGAATGAGAACCGCTGCTCCGGCGCATTTATTCCAACACAGTGGATACCTCGGAATGCTCAGCATCACTCTAGCTCCACCAGCAGTTGACCTTCGTCCACGGTCTGACCAGCTTTGACAAAGACGCCCTTAATCTTGCCCATGGCCGCCGCCACCAGACTGTTCTGCATCTTCATGGCCTCAATGACACACACCTCCTGGTTCTCCCCAACCATGTCGCCCACCTTGACGGACACCAGCTTCACCAGTCCCGGCATGGGAGCCTCCACCACCTTGCTTGTGTCCAGCTTGGGCTTCTCGGGCATCTGGTCGAGGAACTGGGCCGCTTCCCTGGTGAGCACCGTCACATCTAGCGCTATGCCCTGAAACACCAGCTTCATGGTGCCCGTAAAGTCCCGCTGCAGCAGCTGAAGCGTGTACTCGGTGCCAGAGACATCGGCAGCCACCGTCGGCTTGGAAACGTCTGCTGGAATGGTCACGTCCAGTTGGTGCCCCCCAACCGTCACGGAGTAGCAGCCACTCTTGTTGACCACGACTGTCACAGCCACCTTTCGGTCGCCAAAGAGCACCTCGACGTCCCAGAACGAGAAGGTTTCGCTGGCGGTCACTTTCTCGCCTTGCAGGAAGTCGCGTGCGTGCAGCTCGTCCTGCACGTAGATGGAAGCTGCAAGCCCCACCAGGTGGCTCTCCTCCACCTCGGAGTACCGCTTCCCTTGGAAGCCGTCCGGAAAGATCAGTGGTAGGTAGCCCGTGTGAATGTCGCCCTTCACAAAGTGGGGCTCTGTCATGATGGTGCGCAGAAGGCTGACGTTGTGCGTGACCCCGCGGATGACATAGGCATCCAGTGCTCGGAGCATGGTCTGGCGTGCCGCCTCCCTGTCGTCCCCGTAAGTCACCAGCTTGCAGATCATGGGGTCGTAGTAAATGCTGATTTCGCTACCCTCGATGATGCCGCTGTCGCAACGCACCTTGGGAATGTGGTTAGGCTCAATGTATCGATGGAGCCGGCCAATGGACGGGAGCCCAAAGTGCTTGTAGGGGTCCTCTGCATAGACCCGCGCCTCGAAGGACCAGCCACGCAGCGGGATGTCCTTCTGCGAGATCTTGAGTGGGTGGCCCTTGGCAACCCGGATCATCTGGTGAACTAGGTCAACCCCGGTGATGCATTCCGTAATGGGGTGCTCCACCTGGAGCCTCGTGTTCATCTCCAGAAAGTAGAAGTTCCGCTTGGAGTCCACCAGGAACTCGACGGTGCCTGCCGAGTCGTAGTTGACCGCCTGAGCCAAAGCCACGGCCTGCTCTCCCATGGCCCTACGCGTGTCTGGATCGAGGAACACACTTGGTGCCTCCTCTATCACCTTCTGGTTCCGCCTTTGGATCGAGCACTCCCGCTCATTGAGGTACACTGCGTTCCCATGCTTGTCACACATCAGCTGTATCTCGATGTGGCGGGGTTTGTCTATGAACTTCTCCACAAGCAGGCGGTCGTCACCGAAACTCGACCTGGCTTCTTCCGTGGAGAACCTAAAGCCATCGATGGCCTCCTTGTCATTCCAAGCTATGCGCATGCCCTTGCCGCCCCCTCCGGCCGATGCCTTGATCATCACCGGGTAGCCGATCTCCTGGGCAATCTTGACGCACTCCTCCGGGGTCTTGACCACTCCGTCGAAGCCCGGAATGCAGTTCACTTTGGCGGCGTTGGCCAGCTTCTTGCTCTCGATTTTGTCGCCCATCGCGTGAATGGCCTTAGAGTTGGGTCCAATGAAGGTGACGCCCACATCGGTCAGCTGGGCGGCGAAGTCCATGTTCTCGGACAGAAAGCCGTAGCCCGGGTGTACCGCCTCGGCGCCAGAGCGCCGGACGGCGTCTAGGATGGCGTCGACGCGCAGGTAGCTCTCGTTGGTCGGCGCTGGTCCGATGCAGAATGCTTCGTCGGCCATCCGTACGTGCAAACTCCGCGAGTCGGCGTCGCTGTGCACTGCCACGGTTCGAATGCCCATACTGCGACATGTGCGCATGACGCGGCAGGCGATTTCTCCGCGGTTAGCGACGAGGACTTTGCTGAATTTGGCCTCGCTCGGATCGATGGGGTCTGTCGTGTAAATTGAGGCCCACGACGACTCGCGACGCACGCGCGGGGCCCAGGACAACGGCCCCCGCCTCCGGACCAGCCCGGAGACGGACACAGCAAACACACGCGAAGCCATCTTGCTGCCAGTTCGCCGAAACATGTTCGTGGCCACGACCAACAAAGTCGGTCGTGTTCGTAGCCACCACAACAAGGGGCCGCGCATGCGCCCCATGGCGGAGATGGTGGTAAGAAAATGAGCGAGCATGCAGACGCCCCAGGCACAGGTAGCCCCAAAAGCCGACTAATTTTTTTGTTTTGTTTTTTTCGGATCTGTGGATACTGTGGACTGTGTCGCAAAGAGCAGCGCATTCGGCTCGAGCTTTCGCGACGCTGTCCAGCAACGGAGCAACGTAACGCGTTCGACCGTGCACCGGTCAGCTACGGACGGTCGCAGGGTTACTTACACGGAACGCCTTGTCTTTGTCCGCCTTAACCTCGGAGTCGAATGCCTTCAGGGAGCCGAAGAAGCCACGGTACCTTAAATAATCACGCACGAGATCGTCTGCAAACTGCGACGCCGCCATCTCCGCGTCCTGCCACGGTTAGCGGCTTTCCACCGCAGCTGCCGGAGCCGCACTTGGCATGGAGCACCAAAATAGTAGCCGCATCAAAACACGACACTGGGATCGAGGACACGTGGAGACGCGGACAGGGGCGCAACAAATTAGAATCTACGCTTTTATCGCTTGAATGTTTAGGGGGATAATCGATCGCGCATTACATTCCAACAACACTTGGTACTGACTGCACTGGCGTACTGATACTAGCCCATTGCTATCAATTTCAGCTGTTTCAGCCCCAGTGCTATGTGCTATGTCGAAGCGGCCAGTGTCCCGCTGTAGAACATGATCCCGGTTATAATATACAGGCTGAGCATGGGCATATTTTCAAATATATTTACTTTTTCGTTTTTCTGAACCCAAGAGAACACTATTAATATTTTTATTTTATTAATGTCCAACAGATGGCGCTTCAAATTCACTATTTCATCACCAGGTGGCGAAGCTGAGGATGAATGGATAGATAAATCCGGCTGAGCCCTTTGGATCGGTCGGTAGCTTACGCCGTCTAGTCATTTTGTTTTACCATCTAAGCTTAGAATATTTAAAGGAAGTGCTTCCTCCGACGGCTCCGACGGGCGTCGGAGGAGTGGGACCTGTGTGCAAATCGTTCCTCCGACGCCGGAAGTGACGTAGTCGCGTCGGAGGAAAGACGGCTGTGTGGAAATCGTTCCTTCGACGCCGGAAGTAACGTATCATCCCCGGCCCCGGATGTTGCCTTTGTTATGACATGTGGCCGACCATCGTCTGCCGCTGTAGCGGCTGTAGTCTTCTGTGGTCGGGTCTTGGCCGCGCTGCTGTCGGCTCCGCTCACGCAAGCTATTTTGACTGATTTTTCGCACTCTTTGAAGCGTTTTGTTTAGCATTGTCTTGTTCTTTTTAGCAATACATTTTTCCGTATCTAGTGCTACTCTTTGTATTTTAGCTTTGATCGCACCCCCAGCGTGCCTCGAGTTTTGGTAGCCGGCGATTCGATGGTGAAGTACTTGCCATTGAATAGTCGGTTGGCTGTTGAGGTTGCGCCGTTTAGTGGTATTAGAATCGAGCACTTGTTTTCCCAGGTGTCTGAGAAGCTACCCGATTTTGATGTTGTCATCCTACACGTTGGCACTAATAATTCCCATATTAGTGCCAGCGTGTACATCGACAAATATCGTCGTCTAGCTGCCCAGATCTGTGAACGCAATCCAATGATGCAGATCGCCTTTTCTGCCGTTCTTCCGAGACGGGAGAATAGGTTCTGCTCATTGGAATGGCAGCGTAGTCACGCTGCAGAGATCGAGGCTTCGAATGACCGTTACCGAGAGGTGAACTCGCTGCTGCGAGAGTTGTGTCGCAGGGAAGGGTTCACGTTCCTTGACGGGCTAGCTGACGAGTGGCACCAGTGGATCCACCGCGACGGCGTCCACCCAAACCGGATCGGCAACAAGGTATGCACACGTGCGTTAAGTCGCTGCACTAAAGAGCGCGAATATAGGGCGGCTACGATTGCAAGGCTCACCGTAAAAAGGGGAACTGAAAATTGACCTGCGCACGTGGCGAGCTAAATTACTGGTTGGATTCAACTGGTTGACAGAACGGTGCCAACTCCAGCAACGAAACACGGCACAACTTGGAAGGTTGAACAGTCTTTATTGTCAAAAACCGAGAATGAAAATAAATAGGTTCGGTGACGTTCACGTTTTCGGATTGAAGGAAGCACAGCGTAGCTCTAAGGACCGCTTCAGTTGCCTCGTTAGCTAATTGCGACGATTGAATCGCCCTTTCAGAGCTAGTATTCGTGCGAGGTGAAAGATTAGCCGCTGGCGTCTGTCAGCATCCGTGACGACGTCCCTAGCTTCTCTCCATCGCGTGAAGAAAGGTGCTCACCCGTGTTTCCGCGTTGCGCAGGTGAAGTCCTGATAGGATGCGGTTGCGCTCCCACCTTACAATCAAACAATTCCAATTGCTTGTGTCACAACAGCTGCCAGTTCGGGTAGACTTTCCGCCATTTTTACCATTGTGCTCTCCGCGGCTGTTTTCTCTTCCGTCTGGTTTCTCCCTGGGTGCCCTCCGGTCGTTGAACTGCATCTTTCTGCCCTCGAAGTTCACCGTTGGGTCGCAAGAAGCGCAGATATGGTTTTGACATTTTCATAGCGACACGTTTATCAATACACCAACTTTGGCGATGGTTTCCCTTCTCTACCGACCACTGGATGGACGGATGGATGAATCCGGCTGAGCCCTTTGGATCGGGCGGTAGCTTACGCCACCTAGCCATTCTGTTTTACCATTTAAGCTTAGAATGTTTAAAGGTGAAAGCTATATTCACTCCGCACTGCAAAGAAAGTGAGGCTATAAAACACCCTTGCCATCAGTTAATAAGAAAATACCTAGTTTTCTCTCGCCTTCTGCCACCATTCACTTAATATTTGCTTGGTAATCTCTACTGTCTTGAAATCCACTGTTCCTTCGCTGTTTCTAAAACCCAATGACTTTATTAAATCTATGTTCTCTTCGTATCAAGTATCAAGTGCTCAGCCGTCTCGTCCTCCTCTCCACAAGCAGTGCACACTGTATCCATTTCCTGGTACTTCGCTCTGTGTGTTCTGGTTTGCAGTACACCCGTCCTCGCCTCAAACAACAATGAGCTTCCCCTAGAATGGTCATAAATGCTTTCTTTGGCAATAACTGTTTTGTTTAATTTATAGTTTTCCAGAGCCGTCCTTGTCTGCATTCTCTCTAGCCACCAATCTCTTTCTGTGGCCTTAACTGACACCTGCTCTTCCTAAGTCCACTATAGCCTTAAAAACTGTCCTCCTAACTCCCTAGTGCACTGTCTCCAGTTTGCATCTATACTCCTCATGTATAAATAGCTGAAAACCTTTTGTGCCCATTGCCACCCATCCATTTGCCTCAACCAATCCTCAAATTCTATCTTGCTCACCGCTTCCCTGCTCTCAAATGACGCCCATCCCATGTCTCCTTGTACTAGCTCCCTGGTTTGGTGTTTTGCAATGTGTCCCCAAAGCCAGCCTACCTACTCTGCACTGTTTTATTTCTAGTCTCGCATGCACTTCGGATTTCACGCATAGCACTGCATTTCCAAAAGTCAAGCCAGGCACCATGACCCCTTTCTAAATCTCTCTCGCCACCTCATACCTGTTGTAATTTCAAAGTGCTCTATTTTTCATTACAGCTGCATTTCTGTTGCCCTTACCTATTATATACTTTTCATGCTCACTGAGATATTCTGCACCATCACATATCCATACTTCTAGGTACTTGTATTTACTAGCTTTCTCAACTGTAATATTCTGTACCTTCAGCCTCTCAACTTCATCATCGTTAAAAATCATGATTGGTGATTTTTCACTGCGTCACATGTGCCATCTGTCGACAACGCGCAAAACTAATCCGCATGCGTGTCACAACGGCCTGCTGGGTCTGATTTTTAAAAAAAAGGGAGTAGGTCTTTGCTTCAATGTTTAATACATTTTATACATGTACATAAATGTTGATTTAAGTAAATATTTTTTATGCCACTAATTATATTGCAATTTATAAAATGATATGTACATTAAAATTTGACATATTTTTTTAAATACATAAATGTATACCTAGTAATTCAAGGTTTATCCATTTCTGTAAATCTATATATTTAAGTTTTTTTTTCCTTCACTAGCAAAGATCAATACACCCCCATCTTGTCGAAATGGACACGGCATGTGAACCCTAACAGGGAATGGGAAAGCAATTGAAACTTCCCCTGGGAATCCCTCCAACCAGTTAACTCCTTAACTGGTCCCAGTTACCCCTACCCGTTCCCCATCTGGGCATAGTCAAGCCAGTTGACCCCTCAGCTAGTCCCAGTTGCACTCCTATTGATAACAGCCAATTCCAACTTGGGACCAGTTAGTTCCAGTTGTAACCAGTTGAGATGCCAACTGGTCCCAGTTAGACATTTTGGCATAGGTGCCTTGTATGTAAAGCTAAAGGCGCAGCACCTTTTCTGTGGAATCTTCAAGGCAACATCTTTAACAATTTGAACGAGTGAGGTGACTGCAGCTGACAATCAGCTTTGGTGCTAATGTCAAGTACCGTGTGCAGGTCCTCGCTGGGTTCATGGGCCAGCAAGTATGGAGCATCCTGGAGAAGATGGCCAGGGCCAAGATCCAGCAGGACCACAAGGAGGCAATGCCAGGGACCCGCTCGTGGGATGGCTGGACCATCAAGGGTGCCCTATTGACCGCGCCATGTTGTCTCTTCAGAATTCTCCGACTTTTCCAGCAAAGTTTTGTTAATCTGACGACATAGTCTTTCTAAGAGGCTGGGGAAATTATAGCAAAAAGTTTGTGGGCCTCACATCTGGTAACAAGAAGACTCCAAAAACAAGGCCCCTTGAAAACTGAGCAAGTTGCTACTTGTGTAAATTGGCTCTGAAGAAACCAACAACTAGGCGCTGCACAGTCCGATGATTCTTTCCGAGTCTGAAGTGCTTCGAGGGAATCGGAATTTTGTGTTATAATAAACTGTTCTGCATTGCAAATCGAGTTTGATGTTGTTTACTTACATTTGGGGGGTGCCAATTTGTCTTATACCTTAGTAGTTACATCAACACACTGCATTTGATATCAATCCTGCCCCAACAATAGCTAGTGCACATGGGCCCCTTTTTTCCTTTCTGATCACTCCACAAATAATGCCCGGTGCTTCTCTGCGTGCACCAGAGCAACGTACGAAAGCTAACTGCGAGAGCACTGGCTTTTCTCCGCAGCGTGGAGAAGGTTACCAAAAAAGAGCTGGTGCTTTTCACATGCACTGGTGCGATGTGGGAAAACTTACAGCGAGAGCACGAGTGCTTCTCCGCGTGTACTGGTGCAACAAGGAAAAGCTTAACACGAGAGCATTGTCGCAAAGTATTAAGCTTGATACTAGCATTGTATTGAGAACACCACAGTTTGCAGAGACGTGGTTCATTACTCCGACAAGCTGGAAGTGCGCTGTGGAGGCATTTGTTTACAGCATTTTCAAAAAAATTTGTTTTACTGTCGAAGGATGTATGGCCATATCAGTAGATTATACAAAAACTTTCCAACACAAAGAATGGAAAGAAACTACAGTGGACTGCTTCCTTCAACCAGCAATGACAGTGATGAATTTTGTTGCTGGTTGAAATAAGTAGTAGTCGTCTGGAGTTAGTATTCTATTCCTTTTATGTCCAAAAGTTTGAAACCAACACTTTATTCTTATTTTCCTGCTAATCCTTAAATGAATGCTTTTCAGAGGCTGCTGGCCCAGATAGCTAACAATTTCTTTGTTTGCATTGTTCGGCCAAGCATCACAGCTACCAGATAACTGGGTTCTAGTTGCCTGGTAGAAAAG